TTTTCTGCCAAGATTTATGTTGCTGTTTTTTCTTAATGGTGATCCCACAATAAACAGTACTGAGAAATACGACTTAATGAATGTTCACTATAGGTGCTTAAAAATAGAAATTATCCCTGGAACTCTTAGATAAAACCAAAGGAACAAGTACAAAATGTGCCTTTGCACATACGGAGTAGGGTATGGGAAAACTGGAAGAAGTTTCTACTTGCCTGAACTGCTTCACCCGTTTGCTCCCCATGAGTTGATAGCAGAAGTGCTTGTTTAAGGCACTGGAAAAGAGGACTTTGCCCTGGTCCGTCTCTTAAAGGCACTTAGTGCCTCTCTAGAAAGCACGTCATTAGTAATGGTTAAATCACAGAGGAGAAAAATCTTGCCATTTGTTTACCTGATGAGGGAGTTTTCTGAATAGTTGTATTTGCAAGTAGTATTATGACTTTGTGCTGACTTTAAAAACAGTCGAATTGTTTGCTCATGGCATTTCTTCAAAAAAACTATTATAAGTAACTCCCTCCCCCTTTACTTGTACTTGGTTCCAGGGAATGCTAAAGAGAGGAGTGACTTGGCGTAGTTTTAAGTCTGGATCCAAGCATGTTGAATAACTTTGTCCCACGGGAGAATTAAAAAAAATGCAGCAGATGGCAGCAATGATGCATCAGACTTCCTATCCTTAAGAACAATGTATCTGCAGGCACTCTGAGGCTTCACCTATTGGATAAGCCGGGGAGGGCGCAGGACAGTAGTCTTCCTCTCTTCTTTGCAGTTTCAAAGCAGACTTGCTGAGGAGGGGATGTGTTCCGTAGCCACTTCAGCGATCTTTTTTATGGTCAGAGGATTAGTGGTGAATGGAACGTTTCCCCTGAAAGTTAGACAATATGGCTCTTTCACGTATACAAATCTGAGTCTGCCCATGGCATTTAAATATATGGTAACCTGTGTTTAAGAATCTAAAGCACATTATTTTTTTGTGATTCATTTGTCCTATGAACAGAATACTTGTCTGGGGAGAAGAAGCTACATTGGCAGCTATATTACAGCTTTGCACCTTTTTTTGTGTTACACTTTATAAGAGAAGTAGGATAAGAAATGACTTAAGTATTCGCATACATTGCAAAAGCTTCAGAGAAGGGAATAGAAGCATTTCATGCTGTATAAGGAAGAGAGAGATTCACCTCTAGTCTGTTTTATGCTGCTAAATGTGAACTACTACTGTTACCACAGAAGTGCTTCATAGTGACTGCAGTGCAGGCTAAAAAGAAACATTTCAATTTCTAGAGTGCTTCTGCACTTGCTCAGTACTGCTTTGTACTTGCAAGTTATTATCATAAGACTGTGAACAGTTTGGGATAGCAAGAGCTTTTTTTTTTTATATTCTCTTCTACCTGATTTTAATGCAGCTTGGCTCTGCTTACTGTGGTTCAGTGCAGCATCATTTTTTTCTCAATCTTCGGGTGACAACAGGAAACAAAAAGTGCTTACTTCTCTTTTGGTTCATTACTGTAAACACATGAGAACTTAGTTTACCAAGTAGATATGAATGAGCAAAAGAGGAACCAATGCTTAATTTATTTCTATGTTGATAGTAGTACATTTTCTGTCAGAAGTAAAGTAAGTGAAGGTGATTGAAAGGGAAAAGTGACTGTGGGCTTCTCTGGTAAAGATTCTACCACCCCACCCCCACCCTCCCTTGGAATTTTGGAAGGAAAGCAGAAATCTTGCAGTGTGGCAGTGACAGGGACCATATAGACAACACAGATAAGACTGAATCATGTCTTAAGCCTTATGTAGGCTATGTGACTTGCCATGAAAGCAGCTGTAAAATAAGTCACAATGACAATCATTTAAAAAAAAAAGTACTGATAGGGGAATATTAGAGCAGGGATCTCTGCGTTAAGCAGCCTTTACCCTGCAAGTATAGTTTGCAGTAGAAATTAAAATAGATCTCTTACTAGTTAGTTGAAAGGCAAGTGCTTTAATTAGCCTTAGTACCCCTATATACTGCTATATGAATACAATGAAGGCAAGTTGCCAGGCTAACTTAAAACTCTAGTTCAAGTACATCTTGATTAAACTTGCCATAAGGTGCACAACCAATTGAAACACAGCACTCAGTTCAATGTACAGCTGAAAGAACTCTATTTGAAATAGAGTTCAAGGGTCTGTCTTGTCTTACTTTCATCTGTGTTTTCAGTATCTCTTGAGGAGAGTGGTGCTGTAGTGGTACAGTCTGCAAGCTCTCTGAAGGGTGGGGTCCAAATTTGAAAAAATAGCAATGGATTTGAGGAGGTCTGAGTGATACAAGGTTATGTAAAGGCAAATAAGAACAACTCTGTTTAGAGCAGAAAAGATTGCTGGGTACTTTCAGCTTTTTTTACTGGGTTTTTATTTTTGAAGAAACAGAACCACTATTTTTAGCAAGTAAATGGGCTTACAGTAGTAGAAGTCTTCTGATATGTAAATACATGTGTAGAAAGATGTTCTTTGCTGTCATAAAGTCAGAAAGAAGTCTGTTTGCATACAACAAAGAAAACTTATACTGGGGACAGACTTTTGGAAGAAGTAGCATTTAGTCAAACTACCTTTTAAATCTGTCTGAGTTTTGTGAAAGAAAACACATTTTTTTTTTGGAGGTTAAGTATAATTAATCCTGCCATGGTACCATGACATGGCTAGGTGATCATGAGGCCCCTTCCAGTGATGTAAGTCACTGAGGGATTATGTATTCTTTTTTTCATGCAGATAACAAATTAAAAAAAAAAAGGCTTGGAACAGAATTAGTTTCTGATAACGTACAATGGCTGTTCAATGGAATACATGAGGTCTTATCTATCTTTAGCTTGTTTTTCCTAAAGGAGTAATCTTGGTGTAGGTTCAGCTCCGGGGGAAGGGAGGAGAAGGAGAAATTGGTCCAAAATGTGTTTGATCTAGTAGCCTCCTAGTTTAGTCTTCAAATCAGATTTAAACATGTGAAGCCAGACTGTATTTATCCTTGTATAGAAAATGGGACTTGTATTAAATATGAAGGCAAGCAGCTTTTTGGCACACATGGACGTTGTGAAAGACGTCATTTAAATATTTTAATGATTTGGATGAGGGAAACTCTCCAGGAAATTAAACAATGGAAGTTCATAAGACTTGGTAATACTTGTAAACAGACTGTAATCTCATTAGGAGAATTATTTGGCTTGAATATTACAGCGCATATGATTAAATACTAAAACATTGCTCAGCAACTGGGATTTGGACTTTGAGTGGCAATGACATATGAATCCCTGCATGGTTTAAAAGTGTGCTATTTTTGGCAGCTGGGTGTTGGCTTGTCTCCTCAGTAGCAGTAGAAAGTTAGTTTAGTGTATAGAGGAAGGTGATTTGCAATGAGAAGACTCCTCTGACGCTACTTATTAAACATGGGCTGCTGCTTCAGTAAAGAATTGAGTAACAGCACGAATGAGGAGAAAACCGTCTTGTTACAAAAATCTGTGGAAGAGGAAGCACCAGAGTCAAGGATAAGTAAAACTTTATTTTCAATTTTAGGAACTGTGGAAAGCCAGGATCTGCATACAGTGGGAAGGACAGTTAATGGGGCAGCTGTGATAGTCGGCATTGAACGTGTTTGTAGCGATGATTGCGCAGCGTCAAATTCTAAATCTGGGTTCTGGGATAGAAAAGCAAACTATCCGTCATACAAAAGCATGGAGAATACTCCCTGTGAGAGCTCTAGGGGAGCATATGACAGACCTTTTAGCTTCTTTAATTCCTTTAGTCACCTCCTGAAGGTCTCTGGTACATACGGAAATCTGCAGAAAAGTGAAGAAAAGAAAGATAGGGTTATTAAAAAAAGAGCACATAAAAAGTCTAATAGTAATGGTCAGCACATGAACAATACAGAAAATATTAGTAGTAATACTAATAATGAAAATGTAGCTGCAGAAGAGCATTGCTTGTTTGATTGTATTTCTACTTCACATGTTCCAAACATCCTAGACAAAGGCTTACAGCGTGAAATATCCTTAAATAGAAATTTTCTGGAGGATTATGCAGTTACATGTGACCCTTCAAGGCAGAATGAAACAACAGTAAATGTTGAAGACAGCAAGAGTGACAGCCTTCAAAAAGTTTCAAGTTCACATAGAGAGATGTCTCCAACATTTTCGTATCTTGATGTAGACAACAGACAAAATACAAAAGATAGGGTGTTTTACAGTATTTGTGTTGTAGATGCTGAAGATCTGAAAGGCGATGAAGAGGTGCCAGCTACTGTGCATGCAGAGACTGCAGCAGACGTAGATAACTCAGCTGTTACTGATGAAGGAATGTGCCGCACGGCACGACCTCTAGACACTGGGGAGGAATTTCCAATGCAGCAATCAGCACAAGTGGAAGCTAAGTTTAATTCACAGAAAGAACTTTTTGAGTATAAAAAAGAGGATAGGTCAAACATGCAGAAAAAGGAAATAAAGGAATATTGTAGCATAGACATCCAGTCTTCTTATGATAACTTACTGGCTAACAGGTGTCAGGTGCATACGTTAAATACTGACAATACAGTAACAGATGGCTTAAGAGCGAAAGTGTATGATGAAGTCGTGCCTGAGAATCGACGAGAGGAGGTGTATGACATAGGTAATGCTGTCAGTTGGAATGGATCACTCCAGAGAGCTTGTGATTCTGTAAAATTTGCAGATGCTGCTGAGGAGGACCAATACAGCCCTAATTCAGAAAACATGAAACATGGTGATTGTGTTTCCAGTGTATTGTTAAACACTGGAGTATCTAATTCAGGAAAAATTGAGGAAAGTCATGATTCTGAGATTGTACCATTTGGTTTAAGTAGGCATCCCTCAAGTGTTGCAAGGGAAATAAATACTAAACAGGAGGCAGAGAACATGAGGGGTAACTTTAAATTATCATTACAGTTATGTGAAATGGAGAATGGGTCTTTTCTGTTGAGTCAACATGTAGAAAAACTTGCTGAAGAAGGCTACTTCCTAAAGCCAGAAGGTGAAGTAAACTCAAGTATGGAAAAGAGAACATTTCAAAGAACATCTGGTGATAGCCAAACAATTGCACCTGACTCTAGTAAACATCACAGTGTTTTGGAAGAATTCTTGAAAGATAAAGAGAAATGCACAGGTACAGTTTTGCATAGCTGTGAAGCTTTGAATGTGACTGAAATGCATGAAAACTTGGAAGAAAGTTCTGATTTTCAAACTCAAATTAAGGGTTGCACTGAAAACAAGACATCAACTGACGTTGCAAACCATAGTGGCGTGGAGGAAGATGTCTGTGTGAGTATCATTGAGCTAAAGGACAACATGCTTGAGGAAGCTGGTAGCTTGAGCAGAACTCGATCATGGGTAAGTGATGGCACTTTAACATCTCATGAACTACATAACACAAATGCAGATGAAATGTTCCTAAAGGAAAGCAGCCTAGAATCTCAGATTTTGCAAGAGTCACCAGGGAATAAAGGTGAAGTATGTAAATACTCAAATTCAGATAAAAACCCCAGTGTCTCTTCTGTGTCTGTGGAACATGAGGATATGAATAAAATGGACATGAACTGTAGACAAGATGAGCAACAGGTTGTGTGTTCCTTCCATGCAGTGGAAAATCAATGGAATGTGGGGACTGTCTCAGCCAAAATAGCTGGGAATGTAGTAGAATCTGTAGAACAGGCAAAATTTGAAGTTCACCTAAACGAGACAATCGATAACAAGGCTGAAAATGTAAAACAGAATTTGGATGCTAACGTTGTTGATTGTGATAAAAACATTTTAAATTGCAATAAAGGCTTGACGTACGATCAGAATACTTACTCTAACTCCACTGTACCTGTAGCTTTGGATAATTGTAGGTACAAGAGTGTAAAATCGATAAATGACACTAAAAATCAGGAAGATGCCAGTAATCTCTTGCGTAAAGCCCATAACTGTTTACCTTCATTGTGTCAAAATTCATATTCTCATGTGCGTGATAAACCAGCGGAAGAGCCAGAGTTATGTCACTGTGCCAGTCCAGAGCCAGAGGTCGGGACCATGCAAGTTTTTGTTGGGCCTTTTACTGAAGCAGGATCAGAAACTCATGAAAAAAGTGTGTGTGATGTAAATGAATGTAATCTTCAGGATGATGAAGTAAAACAGTGTGTCAGCATCCACTCAAAGGAGAACCTCACTGGTTTTAGCATGTCAGCTGGGAGTCTAGAAGCTTTTACCACAGGGAATTTAAAGCCATTAGAAGCCAAGACTACCGAACTGAAAAACACCAGTTACGTAGTAAATACTCAAATGAATGACTTGACCGCAAGTTGGGAACAGATGCAGTCAGATCACAAGATTTTCTCAAACAAAGAGCTTGGAGTTTTTGTTGACCCAAAGCAGGTAGACAAATATGCTGCTACTCCTTCCTATGAAATACATAGTGCCTCTCCTGCTGCCACAGGATTCCAGCGAGGCAGTGAGCGGTGTGTATTAGATCTGATGGAAGACGTATCGAGTGACCAAGAGCACTCCTGTGAACTGGATGGACAAAATCCCCAAGTTGAAATATGGTCACATTTCATCAGTCTTCAGACTGGCAATGCTGATGGGACAAATCAGCTATTTTCTGACACTGTTACTGCTGGTAATGGTGAATATCTGATGGGCTTTTTATGGAATAATACAATTTCTAACAATACCATGAAGAATGACAGACTATGTATCGTTAGTGAAAACTTCCAGAATGAACCTGAAGATTTAACAGGTGCTTCATATGCAGTGGAAAGATACATGTATCAGCTGCTACCACCAGAAAATGTTGGTCCTTGGGGATGGCAAGATAAAGATGAATTTGTAAGTATTCTGCAGAATTGACTTGATGTTAAAGCTTACAAGCTGAAGCTAGGAATTGGAATAAGCCAAGTCAAGCTGTGGTTTCATTAGATAGTTAAATATATCACATGTTATTTTGTCTTCAAGCTGACCACTCTCTTTCCTTTGAAAAAAGAATGCTATGCAGAATGTAGTAGTTCAAAATGTTGCTGAATATTGATACATTTTTGTTTCTTTTGGGTTTTGTTTACCTTGTGTGAAAGTTTAAAGGTTGGGCAAAGTATCTCGATTGCAGATTCTCAATTCTAGATGAACTTGAGATGAACACTTCAGTATGTACAAGGGAAACTTTCTACAGACTGTTAATAGTGCTCTTTACCTTCATATAGGAAGACACGTTTGTGGATTTCCTGAAATCTTAAAATTCTTGCTTGGTAGCAATTAGGAAACCTTTTGCTCACTTCCGGAGATGGTCTTCTGAAGTGCTGTAGAAAGGCGTGGCGGCAGGAGAAGCGTGGGGAATGAGCTAGTCTGGCTCTTGGCTAGCTGGGGTAAGAGGCAAACAAAGCCAACCTGCAGCAGCTGCTGCTCCTCTTCCTTCCCCGCTGAGCAGAGCCAGCGCTTGGTTGGTTTTCCGCACCGACTGCATTACAGCAGCTGCTCTGACCTTGCCCAGCAGTTGCAGTGCTGGCAGTGGATTGCACTGGAGGCCAAGTTTGCTGTCTCCTGGGGGAACTTTTTGTATTGAAAATGGAAACTGGTGGAACTTGCCGTCATCTTTGAATCCTTACTATTCAAGCAGTGATGTCGAACACTTCCACTTTTTATAAGTCTCTTCTGTCATTCAGTAGATGTGTTTTCAGTTGAGATTCCTTAGCTATTTTTACCTTCTAGATGTGTTTTCTATGCGCTACGATAATGACTGAGTGCACATGTTTCAGAGTAATTAAAGCTTCACGGAGTTTTGAAGTGCCTGTCTTAAACTCTGTAATGTTCCTAGCATCCTTAAAATCACAAAACAAATTTTAATAAGCTTTTTTAGTATGTGTTATCATGAGTAATGCTCTTTCCCAGTATAATCATCATATTAAAATACACCAAAGATATTCTGGGTATGGAATAACTTAATATGTTTTGCTCAAACATTAGCAAAACAAGAGAGAACTGTCTCATGTTACTATGAAAAAAAGTATTGTAGATGTTGGCACTGCAGAGAGCAATCTCTCTGAAGCACAAATATAACCATTTCTATAATATAACCATATATGACTATTAAATGTGTCCATTTCCAATCCAGGTTAAAGGAGATTGGCCTAAGATGATTTAACTGGATCTCATAATTTGTTCTTTTTGTCCTGCCTAGGGGCCAACTAACCTAAGTTTTTGTTAATGCTCTGTGTTTTCTCTTGAAGTAATGACAGAAGTTGTCATGTACATCTCATTGCTTTCAATTTTCCATAATGATTCCTTAAAACTTGTACATTTTTATATAAGTAAAAAAAAAAAAGCCCTAAACCTCTGTGCTTTTGTGTTTTCTCAATTCTTTTTAATGTCATTTTGCAGAAATAGATACAATGACAATATAATCAACATTGAGTTAACCTGTATATTAGAGAACTGCCTGAAGTCTAGGGCAGGTACAGGTTGAGTTAGTCAGTGAAACATGAAGAATGAAATGTTTGTTGTCGTTTGCTCTGCTTGGCTAGCCTTTTCTGGTGATTCTTAATCAGGGAAATGAATTCTGTGCTGCACAATTCGGTGGGTTTTGTACCTGAAATGATTATGGGATGGCAGTTCAGTTAATATATTCGGTTGTGAAGAAAACATAATACAATCTTGAGTTGTACATCTGATACTGTTATTTGAAACTACATATATACGCACAGATGCATGCTGTGCATCCACAAAGTGCATAATCAAAGAAATTTCTTTTTGTAGGAGTCAACCAAGGTTTCTGAGTTAAATCCTAATGCAAAGGTGTGGGGAAATCATATGTTACACTTGGAAGCAAGTGGTGCCACTGATGGTAGCGTGAGCAAAACGTGGGAAGAAATACCTGACCAACCTCCAGATTCTTGTAAAGAAGGTATGAGTAAGAATTTCTAGCTGTTGCTCAAGCAAATGGTAAAATTCAGTGCAGCACTTTCTCAATTTTAGTTTCCTGTTAAAATGAATGCAAATATGTAAGCAACTTTACTTCAGATTTAGTTTTAACTATGATGTTACTGTGGTTAGAAGGAATGCTTTTAGAGTGTGTTTGTAACCTTTGCTGCAGGACTGGATGCCAATGGTGATGGCGACAAAAAACATCAGAATGCAGTGCTGACAGAGCTGCAGGAGCCGTCACCAGCTGTTTCGGTGTCAGACCAGACAGATATGAACCCTCTGGCTCTTGATCATTCTGAGTATGAGTCTATGCATGAAACCACCCAAACAGGTAAGAGAAAGCTGGTATTTGATTGGGCTTGGTTTAAAAACAAAACAAAAAAACCCCGAACACTTTGAGTTGAACAGTGAGCATCCATTTTAAAAAAAAGACACACAAAACAAACCCCGCCCCCCCCCCTCAAAAAAAAACCAAACCAAAAAAACTACACCACTTTTGCTGTTCAATATATGCATTCTGTAAACAGACCCCAGAAAATCCTGTCTCCTGCTCTCGGGTTAGACGTATTTGGAAACCAGTCTCTTCCTGTTTGAGTACAGGCCTTGTGAGATACTGCACAGAATCGATCATAAGTTCTGGATATAACTGAGTATTGGTTTCTGAAATGTTATTCTGAATGCAAGTCCCTAGTGTAGGTGTTTACATTTAGATATCTACCTGTGGAAGCTGCATGTTTCTAGTTGGGTCAGATACTGAGGTGAATTCACATACCATTGGTGTCTCAAGTAGTAATGTTAATGTGTTGAAAGATCAGTCTGGTACTTAAAATGCTAAAATAAGCAACAATTTAGTCTTAACTTCTTTGCATTCTTTGTTAATTAACTTTCATGATTTTTTCAGTGCAACTGTTAGTAGCTGTAGTCTATACCAGATGGCATGTTTTAAGAAACTTCTGTAAACTACCATAGAGATTCAGCCATGCTTATATTTCACTAAAAGGGACAGAAGGTCTGCAAGATGCCTGTAGGATTACTACTTGAACTGAGATGAGGGATGGGAAAGAGAGGAAAGTGTGCTGGGTGTTTTTTGAGATTCATGAGGAGTTCATGTGCTTAGCTGATTTTATAACATGTATTTAAAATGACCAGTATAGCATCCATAATAGTTGGAAATCAAGACAACTGAAATTAGACACGGTTGTGGCATCATTCTTGCTTGTGTTGAAAACTGAGAGTTCTCTTTGACTCTTCTACTTAAGGGTACTATTGGGGAATATTAAATAGTAACTAACTGGCAAATAGAAAATTATATTAATGGTGCCTGCTCTCTAGAAGGGAACAGTTCCTCAGCTTAATATTACAACTTGTCAGCCTGTCCTTTACATGCCCCAAATAGTTAACTTCTAACAAGAGTCAAATAGTGTTGCAAAGCAGCTGAACAGCAGGTCGGATCTGTTCCACTTGATGAATAGTAACAGAGGTGGTCCCAACTCTGAAATCTGATTTTTGCTTTTTTTTAATTATTATTTTAAAAAATGCTTATAATTTTGGTCTTTGCTAGGTTTTGGGCAAGGAAGAAAGAGGAGATGGGGAAGGGAAATAGTACATGATATGTATATTTCTCAGGTGTTGACATTATCTACATCAGAATAGAACACGTGAAGGGCAAAACAGTGGGAGGAAATTAGAAGTTGCTTTAGGAAGAACAAAGGTTAAGGAGAGCTGAAGAAAAGGATGAAAGTTACTGAAGAAGGGAAGGGTATAGAGGGTAATAGTTGGTGTGCAGTACTTTTAAAAAAACTAATTTACATTTATGTAACACGTTACTAAATGTTTTTTAAATCTCTAAAAGCTACACTAAACTTGTGATCTTTAAACAGTTTTCCCACTGACACAATCAGTTTACCCTCAACTGACTGTAGTATATTGGGTCTAAACTAAAATGAACATGAAATTAGTGTTTTCCATGTGATATTTTTGAAACTTCCAGGTATAAGAAAAAAATTACTTTCTCTTTCTTAACCAAGAGATTGTTAATTGATCACACATCTGTTGTTAATTGATTGCATATCTGATGATATTTCATAACTCATTTTTGAAACTCTCTTCTGAATTAGCGTGGTGGGAATTTAGAGTGAGGCCAGAAGTACGAAGTGTCTCCATTACATTGCTTGCTTGCTGTATTAGTCAGCTGCGTTAGTCAGGGTTTAGTCAGCTGGAAATTGGTTCATTTCCTAAGGCTGGAAGAGAGATACATGAGCTAAATCAGTTCGGTATTTACTGATGTAGAGATGTGTTTGTAGCTGCTCTTCTAAAACTGCTTCAAATTTTTATATATTTGGAGAACAGAGGTTAACAAGTGAAGTCAGATACATTTTTTCTTTTCTGTCTTTGATAAAAAGTGTTCCGGTGCAATTTTGGTGGGTGGTGAACTAATACACAATGAACATTTATTGAATTTGAAAATCTGTTACTAGTTATACAGCCAGTAATAGACACGATGGCTTGATTAAAATATCTATTGTGTAATATAACAGTACTAAATTTAAACTCAAGTATTTTAATTATTAGGTGGAAACGAACAGTTGCAGCCAGAAGGTCAGGAAGATTTACGAGAATTACTGAAAAAAACACTGGAATTCTGCTTATCTAGGTACGTATATACCTAAATGTAGCAAACTGCAGGATAACTGACAAGATCCAGTACCTGGATGTATGTTAATATATTTCACAGCTGTCACTTAAAACCGAGTGGAAAGGATGAGAATTTGGGGGAAGTAACATACACATTCCAGAGTATTGTATTGATATACCTCTTAAGGCTTACATGAAACTTCTGGCCCTAAAATATAAACTAGCAAATATATTGTTTTGAAGTGAGAGTAGTTAGAAGCAATTACAGATCAGGTGAATTTTTGACTGTTACTATTTTTTTTGCAAATTGAAGGTGAGTAGCTTAAGCCATGTGGTAAACTTTGTTTAAGATTTGCATTGATACAAACTAGGATTTTTGTTTGTGCATCTGTAGATCCCTTCATATTTCAAGTTAAGGATCAATTAAAAAAGAAAAAAAAAATTAAGGGCTCTGAATCATACACATTCTCATATAGACTGATGCAAGATCATCAAAGCACTTAATTATTTTTAATTAATAATACTTAATTATTCTCAGTGCTTGTGTCTAGATAAAAACATCCTAAACACATGTCTTAATAACCTGGAACAATTTCTAATCTGTATGCTCCTGCATAACCAGTTACAGTCAGTGGTCATTTGAAGTAATAAACTCCTAACAGTATTACATGTTTGTGGGGATAATGTGCTGCCTGAACAGGAAGGCGCCAATACTGTTGTGTGAATGAAAAAAAAGACATTTTCATGTTTTCTAGGAAGTGAAATATAGTGGGTGAGTGGACTGGGGAGTTGGGGAAAATGCTGAAAACAAAATTTAGTGTAGGAATCTGCCTTCTACTATGCGATGAGTTTCTGTCTCAAGTTTATTGGCAAAAGTTATATCTCTGACATTTCCCCCCCCCCTTTTTTTTTCCCTCTCCCAACAGAGAAAATCTTGCCAGTGACATGTACCTTATTTCACAGATGGACAGTGATCAGTATGTGCCAATAATGACAGTAGCAAACCTTGATCATGTCAAGAAACTCAGTACTGATATGGATTTGATTGTTGAAGTGCTGAGATGTAAGTAAAAATCCCTCAATGCTAGAAAGCATTTTGGTTATTGCCATAGGACTATTAATCCAGATTTTCAGTCTCTCTTCCTTTTTTTGTTATGTATCACAATAAAATGCCATCCTTTGTCTGTAAAGCATTAAATAGAGCAAGCAGCTTCCAGTTTAGACCATCACAATTATGGGACTGCAGTTTTATCAAAGCTACTTCACATTTGAGGTATTGAGTAATGATCTGTGTAAATAAGAATAACGTGAGTTTAAATTTTCAGAAAATGCTACTGGACGTTACCACTAAGGTAAGAATCAAAAAAGAACATGACTCAATGTGTGCCTTAGAAGAAGCAGCTAATGAATTGGTATTTTCTAGGCTGGAAGAGTAGGAAGCATGTGGAGATTTTAAGAAACATGGCTACTCAGTTTCATATGTCTGAAAGTATCCTCAGTCATTTTCTGCTTGTTTCTTAATGTTCAAAAATATTTTAAGTTTAGCACAAAAAGCTTTGCATTGTACAGCTGTTCACAGCATCTTTCGGCGTGCAAAGCTATTATGATTGCTGGCAGCTAAAATACTTTTTTTTTGTCTTTTCTCTCTTAGCATTGCCTTTAGTCCAAGTGGATGAGAAGGGAGAAAAAGTTAGGCCGAACCAGAATCGCTGTATTGTGATTTTACGTGAAGTACCCGAATCTACCCCCATTGAAGTAAGTGTTTAATTGTTCAGTAAAGAATGCTTTTTCCCTTAGAAGTTAGATTTCTTCCAGGTTTCAATAAGCATATCACCTTTCTTACTACATTGTTAGTTAGTTTCTAATAATGTTTCTAAACCTTAGTTTATTGTGTGTGTTTGGATAATAAATATATTTGATAGAAGCATGTTGTTCATAGGAAGACTGTGGTAAAACCTGTAGCTCTGCAGAGGGCTGAAAAACTGACAATGCTGTGTTTAGAGACACCATAATTTTCTTGGACTCTGGCTTATCCATATGCACTTAGTGCTCAGCTTCTTGGATGAATAGCAGGTGAAGATGAGGGAAGGTAAGTCTTAGAATGGAAGATGCCACTACTGCACCTTGAAGCTTGTTAGGGTAAAGTACTTGAAGCTTTGCAAACATTTCCATAATGTTGAGGGTAGAGGTGTCAACAAGTCGCTAAGGATCTCTTGCTGGCTTGTGGAATGAGTGCGACAGTGGAGAACTTGATTCTTTCAAAGATATTAAATGCAACTCTGATGTAGCTGGGACTATGACTAATGGAAAGACTAGAAAAAAAATGTTTGGGCCATAGATTAAACCCTCTTGAATTTTCAAAAAGGAAGAGAAGGCACAGATTCTCGATGATGGGGAGATATTTTAATTTCCCCTCTATTTAATTTTACAAGGAAGAACAAAGATTCTCAAAGAGTTGATCTTCTTGATAGCCTTCATACAAAAATAAAAAGTACTGCAGATTAAAAATTACAATAAAGAAGTGGCCTTGGTAAACAGGAGCATGAAACAAAATGCTAAAAGGAATTGGAGGGAAGAAGTTGGGTTTGCTTATATACATAGCTTAAAAATATCAGCTGCTTCTAGCTTTCTAAATGAAACGTAACCTTTCAAAGACTGCCTAACTTTTAATACCACGGATTTCTTTGTTGTTTGGTTTTTTGCTGTCATCAGTTTGTCAAGTTGGATATATTAGCACTGGGTGGTCACTCTTAACTGCTTTGATGCTGCTGGCCCTAACTCTGGGACAGAAATAAATAATATGCAAATGGATTAAAACAAATATAAAGTCCAAGTTGTGTTTTTTCTGTAGAAACTAGCTGATTGTTTTTGAGGTAACATAAACCCTGTTTCAAATACACTAATCTGTAGGCACTTGAGTTCAAGTATATCTCCAGGTTTCCGCTGAAAGGGTGGGGTTCTCCTGTTGCATGCAGTATGCACAGGTTTTCATGTGGCTCTGTGGTTTTGGGGACGAGGAGAAAGAGACATTTTTCTGCACTTGATGCCAAATTTAAGTGTCTCTCTACAGCCCAAATAGCTTATCTCTCCTGATTTAAAGGGACCAGGCAACTTCTTCTTGTACTATGGCCTTAGATGGTGCTTGTTTGAATTCCTTCTAGCTAGTGGGGAGATTGGAGAGAGCTAACACTACTGCATGTGTTCTGAAGTTCTCAATTCTGTTTTGTAAGCCTGAAAGTGCTTTTTGTCTTTCTTACCTGAAATTCCAGAGTTCTGTGCTTTAAATTGATGTTTCCTTCTGTCCATCCTTTTTTTTTTTTCTTCCTCTCCCACCCTTTTTCTCTCGCTTCTTATCAAAACCACTTTCCTTAGGAGGTTGAAGCACTTTTCAAAGGAGATAATTTGCCTAAGTTTATCAACTGTGAGTTTGCCTATAATGACAACTGGTTCATCACATTTGAATCAGAAGCTGATGCACAGCAGGTAACACTTTTTTTTGAAGCATTTTAAAATAAAACAGTAAACAAGGGTGGGATGAGGGTGGATTGACGGGTCATAAACTGTATTACAAATGTAATTTGTAATTACAAATTACAATTTAAAAAGAAAAATACGCAAACCTCTGAAAACAGTAATGCTTCCCTTAGCTAATATCCAGTTATCAGTACTATTAAACGTAACCCTGTAAGAGTTTTATCTTGCTCATGTATCCTGGCTTCCTGGCCAAAGCTATAATTTTTTTGTACTAAGAACATTGATATTTTGGATGACATTGAAATTCTTCAGTCGTAGGAATTAAAGTCTTCTTTTAATGGTACTGAAGCATTTCTGCAATGATAACTTAAATCTTGCCCAATGCAGATTACATATGAGGGTTTTCTATAGTCTAGCATTAGCAGACACTTCAAGAATTATTGTTAGGCTTAGCCTGTCAAGACTTAAGTTCCTTTGTTTAAATTATATTTGACAAATTTTATAATTACTTTTTTAAAGGCTTACAGATACCTTAGAGAAGAAGTGAAAACTTTCCAAGGAAAACCAATTAAGGTAAATAGAGCTTTATGGGTTTTTTGGGGGCATGTGTGCGTATGTTCTGGTTTTTGTGGGACTCACTGTGTTTTCTGATATAAATTTAAGTGGTCCAATATCAGCAGCCATTTGTCCTGGAGATGAGTTTTGAAATGTAGCACATGCCATTTTACTTCTCCTTTTCCTCCTCTCTGGCAGCAGTATATCCATCCCAGCATCAGGCCAGCAGGGAAGCGTTCAGCTGTTCCTGCCTTCCTCAAAGGAGAAAGCAGCGACTGACAAGTGTCCAGTAAAAGTTTTGAGAGCTGCTAGTTTTAACCACCCTGATTTAATTTGAAAGGCTGCTGTAATAAATAATCTAATCTCCTTTGCAGGCAAGGATAAAAGCAAAGGCAATAGCTATAAACACATTTTTGCCGAAGAATGGATATAGACCTCTGGATATGAACCTCTACACACAGCAGCGTTACACAACATCCTTTTACTTACCTCCAGTATACAGTCCCCATCAGCAGTTTCCATTGTACAGCTTAATTGGCCCACAGACCTGGTCAGCCACGCACAGCTACCTTGACCCTTCATTGGTAAGTCTCTTGATTATGAAACAATTGCATTCTTTTCAAAGTTGGTATTATTTTCTTACGAAGTCTTGAGGCGTAGGAAGCATATGTATCCTGAAGAGGGGAGTTTGAAATACTGACTCTTCCTGAAAAATAGTTCTTCAAAATTCTTCCCGTGATGTACAAGATTAATTATGTCAAAATTGCATCTGGTCTCAGTCTGCTGTATAATTCTCTTCTTAACCTTTTAGTTTTGGAGGCAGTTTGTCCTGGTTTAGGCTGGGATAGAGTTAATTTTCTTCCTAGCAGCAGGCATAGTGCTGTGTTTTGGATTTAGTAGGAGAAGAATGTTGATAACATGCTGATGTTTTTAGTTGTTGCTGAGTACTGCTTATGCTAGTCAAGGACTTTTTCAGCTTCCCATGCTCTGCCAGGCGCACAAGAAACTGGGAGGGGGCACAGCCAGAATAGTTGATCCAAACTGCCCAAAGGGCTATTCCATACCATATGACGTCATGCTCAGTAT